AGTTAAGGTGGAAGAGCCGCTGAGTTTTGCCTCTACCCATCTGCCATGACAGTACCTCAGCTCTGCTTGCTTGCCAAACACACACACACACACACACACACACACACACACACACACACACACACACACACACACACACACACACACACACACACACACACATGCAGTAAAGGAGAAGTGCTGAGTGTTTTTGCACTCTATCAGCGGTGATAATAACTCTGCTGCCGATAGTCTGAAAATAAACACACAAGCACATTTGTCCTTCAAAAATATGCCCATTCTTTATAGGTAAAAATGCTGAGTTTATGTGTTTATTTATTAAAATTATTTTTTAACCTAAAAATGAAAGTATACTCTCTTTTATTCATCCTCTAGGATTGTCACCATACAATTAATTTATCTTACGATACTATAAGTGTCATGATCCCAAATATTATTGCGATACTGTAATTCCTAACTCAAATTATTAAGAAAATTGTCAGAAATGCTATATTTTAAATATTATAATAAGTCTACTTAAATTTAATTCATAATTACCTTATTATTGAAAAAAAGTACTATTTGCACGTCACTTCAACTAAAATTTATCCATTCCTTTTGTTTATTTTGTAGATAACTGACCAACAAAAAGTTTATTAAAATAAACATACAAATTATACCAAACGTTTTTTCAACAAAATTTGGCTATATGAGGTGGTCAAATTTCCGTAGCTATTCTGGGTTTTTCCCTTTTTTTTCAGCCTTATTAGGTTATAATCCAATTATGAGGATACTAATAATTAAAAATTTTTGTAGCTACTAAATCATATTGACAGGAACGGAAACGAACCAATTCAGATGTGAAACATCAGAAAAAATCAGAAAAGGTGCTCCACAGACTATTAAAATAAAACAGTCTATGGTTGCACAAATGTGTGAGCATTTTACTGACTTTTCCACATGCAACACTGTCTATTGATAGACCATTTATGACGATACTACCGTTAACAAACTACAGTATTCTGTACAAATCTCTAACAGTATTTTGGAGCCATAGTATCGCAATACTACCATAGTACCAGAAAACGTGCAAACCTATCATCCTCCGGTACTTTCATATTTTTATGAGTTTAACTCAAATATTTTTGGAATCACTGACTTCCGTAGTAAAAAAAAATACAATGGAAATCAATAGCTGTTTCCATCCAAAGATTAAAATTAGAATATGCACTGGGGCTCATTTCAGCATCGATATTGAAATGTGTAAATTCTCAGTAGTCACATCACAGCATATTTTGCGATTATTATTGTTGATCAGCAATGAAGAATGTACAGTGTTTACATTTTACATTACATTTTGATTATTCAATAGGGGCAGGACAAAATAGCGATATGCATGAAGTGCCGCTTCACGTAATGGCGGATCGAACATATATCAGTGTTGCAATTCTAAGAAATACATGTGCTGTTAATATAATAAATACATCTTATAACTTTTTGTTGCATTTTTCCCTCTTCATTTACAATTATGATGTATTGTGTATGGTTTTCTTCTTATATATTGTGATATCATGATATATCATACATCATATAATATTGTATTGTATCATATTATTGTACCTGATTATCTGACTACTTATTGTACTTTTTATTTGTTCATTCCTGCAATTTCTTTGACTCACTCCTCTAAAGATTATTTCAATCAAATTCATGATTTCATTCTAAATAGAGCTATTCATGTCATCTGTCAAAGTTGTATTCATATCGCAATATAAATTGCAGCAAAATAAAATATTCCAATGTCCAATTTTAGATGTTTTACAATGTGGTCGTAGTACTTGTTTGTCAATTTTTGCCATCCCATCGCGCATTATCACATGATCTGAAAGCAAAAATGCATGACTTTTTAATTTTTTTTAAGCATATGCTGGATTTTATTCAGTAAATGTGTTTCAATTGTAGTTTAGGCACATTTTTTTCCAATTGGATATTATTTTTATCTTACTCAATTGTGCGTATACTTTTTTCAATATGTTTTTTTATCTTGGTGATTATATTAAATAATTTTATGCGGTATTAAAAAATCCACCCAAAAGAGGAGGATGAAATAGCTTATGGCTACCATTTTTAAGATTCTTTAAACTATTTTCCTTTGTGTTCATTTAATTTTCGTCCGCTTATCTGGGATCAGGTTGCGGGGGGAACAGTCTTTGAAGTGAACTCCTTACTTCCCTCTCCCCAGACACTGCCTCTTGGGGGGATCCCGTGGTGTTCTTAGGCCAGCCGAGAGACATAGTCCCTGCAGCGTGTCCTGGGATTTCGCCGAGTCCTCCTCCTAGTGGGACATGTCTGGAACACCTCCCTAGGTAGGCATCCAGGAGGCATCCGAAACAGATACCCGAGCCACCCCAGATGACTTATCTTGATGTGGAGAAGCAGCAGCTCTTCTATGAGCTCCTCTTGGGTAACAGAGCTCTTCATCCTATACATAAGGCCTGCCACCCTGCGAAGGAAACTCATTTTGGCTGCTTGTATCCAAGATCTTGTCCTTTCGGTCATGACCCAAAGCTCATAGGTGAGAGTAGGAACATGGATTGACCAGTAAATAGAGAGTTTTGCCTTTCACCTTAGCTCCTTCTTCACCACAACAGGGTGATACATTACTGCTGCCGCTGCACGGATCCGCCTGTCAATCTCATGTTCTAACCTTCCCTCATTCTTGAACAAAACCCCAAGATACTTGAGCCCCTTCGCCTGGGGTAAGGACTTTCCTCCAACCTGGAGATGGCAAACCACCTTTTTCCAGTGGAGCACCATGGCCTCGGACTTGGAGTTGCTGATTCTAATCCCAGCTGCGTCACACACTGCAGCAAACCGCCCCAATGCATGCTGAAGATCCATGTTCGATGAACCCAACAGAACAACATGGTCTGCGAATAACAGAGATGAGATCCTTTGGTCCCCAAACCGGACCCTCTCCAGCCCAAGGCTGCGCTTTCAAATTCTGTTCATAAAAATTATTGGTGACAAAGGGCAGCCCTGCACTGGAAACAAGTTTCACTTATTGCCAACAATGCAAACCAAACTCCTACTCTGTTCATACAGGGACGAGACAGCCCTTAATAGAGCGCCTCTGACCCCATATTCCTAGAACACACTCCAAAGAAATCCACTAGGAACACGGTCGAATGCCTTCTCCAAGTCTACTAAACACATGTGGACTGGTTGGGCATACTCCCACGAACCCTCGAGCACCCTGGTGAGGGTATAGAGCTGGTCCAGTGTACCACGGCCTGGATGAAAACCGCATTGTTCTTCCTGGATCCTAGATTCAACCATCGGCCAGATCCTCCTCTCCAATACCCTGAAATAGACTATCCCAGGGAGGCTGAGTAGTGTGATTTCCCCCTATTTTAATTGTTTTGGTGAACTGTCCCTTTAATGAAAAAATTTCATCGCAAACGTGTCATAAGCTATACAGTATTATTTTTTAAATGACGTAGCCCACATTGACAAAAACCTTGTGTTTTTCCACCAAAAGTGCTGATCGCTTCTGAATTACAAATCAATTACTTCTTGCTTTGTGAGTAATTACCATCGGCTTGTGTTTTATTTCTGCATAAGAAGCCTCTCGATGTGACAGCCATCTGTGCCGCTGCAATTAAAGTGCCAAGACAGAAATACAGCCTTTTCTTTTCTGTCAACCATCCATCTTGGCATGTTCTCCCACACACACAGCTGTATTATAAGATTACGTGGGTATCTGGCATGTAAAAGCGTATCTTTAAGTGGTCTGGATGATTAGGAGCATTCATAATGATGCATGATGCTCAAGATCTATTTTTCCTGCTATTCAGTATAGGGTTTTTGAATACAATTTGTCATTAAATTTGTTACGGTGGCTCAGTGGTTAGCACTGTTGCCTAACAGCAAGAAGGTCGCTCGTCCAAGTCCCGGCTGGGTCAGTTGGCATTTCTGTGTGGAGTTTGCATATTCTCCCTGTGTTCGTGTGAGTTTCCTCTGGGTGCTCTGGTTTCCCCCACAGTTGAAAGACATGCTCTCTAGGTAAATTGAATGAACTAAGTTGGCTGTAACGTATGACTGTGTGTGAAATGTGAATGTGAGAGTATGGGTGTTTCCCAGTTCTAGGTTGCGGCTGATAGGGCATCCGCTGCATTAAACATATGCTGGAATAGTTGGCGGTTCATTCTGCTGTGGTGATCCCTGGATAAGGAACTAAGTCGATGGAAAATGAATGAATGATTTGTTGCTTAATATAAGTTTTAGAATATTTTTGCTATTAACTCAATTTCAGTTTAATAAAATATTTTTTTAAGTTCACACACTTCAATTAAAGTTGACACAAAAAGTATTAAACTACTAAAATTAATTGATAATTAATATAATCATTTTAGTAATTCAACAAATATATTTTTAATTTTGTTTATTATTTAAAATTGTAAAAAAAAATCATCAGTTTATTATATTTTTATTTTATATTAAACTTAAATTGAATTTAAATTGTTAAATGTATTTCACAGTTTTATATTTAGTAATTTTTTAGTACTTTTAGCACTAACCAGAGTTTAAACAATTAAAAATGTTGCCTAAAATTATTTTAAATTGAGATATTATTATTACTTATCTAGGGCTGCACGATATTGGAAAATGCTGACATTGCGATATTTTGTACTGCTGCGATATATATTATGAAATTAATATATAATTCTAGCAGATGAATCAATAACTATATTTGAAAAGATGTCATTCATTTAGATAGATTGGGGATGGTCAAATCTTCTTCTATGCTGTGCGTTTGCATAAATCATAATAGGTTACAAGCATATATACGTAAATAGGTCAGAGCAAATATAAGTTAAATAAACAATGCGTTATAGTTTTCTGGAAAGTCTAACAGTATTCAGGTACAGAACTTGAACAATCAACATGTTCTTCTGTAGAGTATCTTCCTGTCTCCTTTGATAACATACCATGTTGTCTCTCTTTTTTCCTTGCCCCAGATGTTCCTAACGGTGTACCTGAGCAACAGTGACAAGCACTTCACAGAGCTACCGATCACACCGGAGACTCTGTGTCGAGATGTGCTGGACATGTGTAAAGAGCCGGGAGAAGTGGACTGCTATCTGGCTGAGATGTGGAGAGGATCTGGTAAGTGCTGCTGACACACAAGCGGAGATGTGTAGGTTACTTACAAATTGTAATCAGTTTATTACAAAGTTTGTAGTCCTGATTGTAGTTTTTCAGATTACAGATATTTATAGTGATGTAATCTGACTACATTTGGATTACATTAGATTACTTTTGTGCTGACACCTATTTCATATACAGAGGTGAAAATAGGTGTTTAATACGTCACCATTTTTTCCTGAAAACATACTTCTAAAAGTGCTGTTGACTGGAAATTGTCCCTGAATGTTGGTAACAACCAAAAACATCCATATATGCAAGGAAAACAAATGTAATTAGTTAACAAATAAAGTTATGTGTAATAACATGAAATGATGCAGGGAAAAAGTGTTAGAACACATGAAGAAAGGGAGGTGTAGAAAGGCAACGAAGGCCCAGACTGCAGCTGAAATCTCAGTAGTTCATCTGCAAGCTTCAGCCCTTCCTTATTGTAAATGTATATTAGCTGCTTCAGTTCATCATTTACATTATCAGGATCATGAAGAAAAACCAGGGTGAACATTTCAGCAATACAATGATCTAAAACACAGCCAAGGAAGCTCTCAAATGCTTTCAGAGAAAGAAAGTCAAGGTGTGGAATCCCCTATTCTGAATCCAATAGAAAATACAAAATAAAGATCAGATTTGATAGATACGACCCACTGAACCATCACGAGTTTTGCTCTCTGTTAAAGAAAAACTCACACCTGAGCGATGCATGTGACATCATTCTCCATATGAGATGCATCTTTAAAGGGTCAGGAAACACCAAAACACATTTTTTGAGCTGTTGACAGTCGTATATGTGTCCCACACTGCTATAAAAACTATTAGGACACATATATTTCACAAAAAAGTGAAAATTTGTTGTTTTTGCGTTATTTCGAGAAAATTCGTACTTCCGGTTTTAAACAAATTTTTAAAGCTGTATCACGGCCATGAGATCTTAGCGTGTATTTCAGCATGTAGACTGGACGTCTGTACCTGGGAGTACCGTATTACGTCTCTGAGTGTGCTGCGTTAATTCATGAGTAAGATTTTGTTCAAACCAATCAGCGCGCTCTATTGTGTATGCAGGCAACTTCATTAATATGCATGATAGCTTCGAAGACTGTTTGTACCTGAAACAGTGTTCAGACGACAGAGAGACAACACGTTGTGTTGCCAAAAGAAGTGGGAAAAGAATAAGAATTGTTTGGGTCGCCAGTGTTGCTTTTATAATTTGCTGCAGTAAAGGTTTTGTTTTCATTTTCCAGCTATGAGAGCACAACTGGACTCATGTGTGGATCAGTGCGCGCGACACGCGGCAGAAATACGTTTGTACGGAACATTTGTTTTTTGCATCTGGAAATTGTGAAATCCGGATTTGCTGCTCGTCTCCTTTAAAAAAAGACGCAGCTCTAGTATGTTGATTGTCCTGTCTCTACAAATTTAGTAAGTGTGTGCGATCAGTGCCCTTTCTTTGTTCATTCAGATGGCAAAGTTATGGTTCGTATTGTCAGCAGGATTCTTTCAGTGTTTAAAGATAGACCTTAGTCAAAATGATTTCTAAGTTACTTAGTTTACGTTAATATCGCTACAATATTATAGGCTGAAAGATCTGCTGTAAATTCTGCTCTCTGAGTGTAAACAAGAACACTGCAAGCAAACTGTTGCCGACCGTCGTGTTTAATTTTCGCCGACAGGATAGCCTACACACACACGGCTCTCTGACCTACCGAGTGCATCTGAGTTACCAAGAAATGCAGAGGTTTTTTTCTCAAACATTCCACCGTCATTAAACACAGTCACTGCCTTTCTCCCCTGTGTGTGTGTTTGTTTTTCCTGAAAATCAGCGTGTGCCCAATTGGAAACTCACATTTTTATTCAAATCTTTCCCTTTTTCCCTCCCTCAACACTTCCACCCAAACAGAGCTAGACACACCCACCTTCCTGACTTTTTCCAAACTAGAGGTGTGAAAACACCCTGCTGAAATGGAGGGGTATTATGGCTCTTTAAGCCCTTTTTTTCAGTTTTATTTTGGTGTTTGTATTGTTTGGGTTTTTGCCAAAATCTGGTTTATTTCCATGTCTACAGCTCCTTTAGAAAAATAATTCACAGAAAAAAAACTGGTTCAATACTTATTTCCCTCGCTGTATTAAAGTAAGATAATCTTGTACAATTTTGACAGATAAAATTTTATCACAAACAAGAGGCTCAACAGCTTCTTTATAACCCCTTGACACATTGTGATTTGGACAGTGTGTGATTAGAACGTTCAGTTCATCATGTGATCAGCTGCTAAAATCCAATCTTCTTTCCTGCGACGGCTTGCGCTAGCCAGAGAAAGAGACACGCTAGTCATAAATCACAATTTATTTAGTGTTTTTAAAGCAATAACAATCATTTTAGGTTTCATCATTTTATTTATATTATTTATATTATATCATATACAGTTGAAGTCAGAATCTTTAGCCTCCATTTGAATATATTTTTATCTTTTTTAAATATTTATCAAGTGATGTTTAACAGAGCAAGGAAATTTTCACAGTATGTCTGATAATATTTTTTTCTTCTGGAGAAAGTCTTATTTGTTTTTTTTTGGCTAAAATAAAAGCAGTTTTAATTTTTTTAAACACCATTTAGATTTAAAGTCAAAATTATTAGCCCCTTTTAACCTATTTTTTTTTCCAATAGTCTACCGAACAAACCATCATTATACAATAACTTGGCTAATTACCCTAACCTGCCTAGTTAACCTAATTAACCTAGTTAAACCTTTAAATTGCCCTTTAACCTGGACAGAAGTGTCTTAAAAAATATCTAGTAAAATAGTATTTACTGTCATCATGACAAAGATAAAGTTAGAAATGAGTTATTAAAACTATTATGTTTAGAAATGTGAAGAAAATCATCTCTTTGTTATATATACATATTTATATACGGTTGAAGTCAGAATTATTAGCCCCCCTGAATAAATAGCCCCCCTGTTTATTTTTTTCCCCAATTTCTGTTTAACAGAGAGCAGATTTTTTTTAGTACATTTCTAAAAGAATAGTTTTAATAACTGATTTCTAATAACCGATTTATTTTATCTTTGCCATGATGACAGTATACAATATTTTACTGGATATTTTTCAAGACACTTCTATACAACTTATAGTGACATTTAAAGGCTTAACTACAGTAGGTTATTAGGTTAACTAGGCAGGTTAGGGTAATTAGGCAAGTCATTGTATAATAATGGGTTTTTCTGTAGATTATTGAGAAACAGTATAGCTTAAAGAGGCTAACAATTTTGACCTTAAAATGGTTTTTAAAAAATTAGAACTGCTTTTTATTCTAGCCAAAATAAAACAAATAAGACTTTCTCCAGAAAAAAAATATTTTCAGACGTGTGTGTGTGTGTGTGTGTGTGTGTGTGTGTGTGTGTGTGTGTGTGTGTATATATACACAACTATTTATTTAATAGCGACATCACAAGCTCTGATTTAGTTAACCAATCAGAGAAAAAAGGGGCAGTTTCAGCACTGCCTACATGTGTATAATACATTTTTAAAGTCGTTTATCTGTTTTCCTAACTTAATCCAAAAAACTAAAATCGAGCCAAAAACAAAAAAAAAACAAAAATTTCAGTTTTTTTTAGTTTTCCTTTTTTTGTTTGAAAACTGATATGGAATGGACAGAAGATATCCTAATTGCTGTGCATAAAATAATCAGTTTCTCACACACACCATTCACTCCCTTTATAAGACCTCAGTGTATCAATATTAATTTTGTGTTGCCTGTATGTTTTTTGACTATTAAAGTGACAATAACAGTAGACATTGGGGCTGCACAATATATCGTTTCAACATCGATATATACATGTGTTTCAAAGGCATTTCAAACATTCAGGCACAAAAAAAAAAATAATACATTTGTTACATAAACAAGTAATTATTTTACTGAATTAATACAACACATTTCTATACCTAAATACCTTCTGACTTTTACTGAATTTTACTTCTTTACGTTTTTATTGTAATTATTATCTATTGTTATTATTTTTGCTCGCAATTTGTTTTTTATTTTTGAAAAATAGCCTTAGAAAATCACATAATGTCAATCCTAATTAATGATTTCTTTCCAAACAGAGCTATTTAAGCCATCTGATGTAACTTAATTCATAGAACAAAATATTGCAATGTCAGATTTTTCCAATAGACATGCATGTTATGAACCATCCTAGCTCCCATTTTCAGCCAAAAGTCTTCTTGAATTTTCTACCATAACAAATGTCATCCATATCTTGGAGTCATTTAACATTAACCTTTCATTTCTGGCTGAACGATCTCTTTAAAAACGTCATTGGAAGAATTCCACTGCTCGTGCTGCACCTGTCTGTGTGACTGTGGTGTAAAGGTGCAATGGTGCATTACTCCAGAATGGCTCTTTGTCACCTCATTTGCATCCTTTGTTTCCTATTGGCTGCTGCTTTTCCCAGAGCGTGTGATTGGTGACAGCGAGCGAATCATTGAAGTGCTGCAGCGCTGGGGTCAGCAGAGGGCAGAGGTGCGATTCTTCCTGCGCCACGACCGAGCACCGGGACACGATACAGGTGAGAGAGACAGACAGAGATAGGAGTCAATGGGACAGAAGAGCTTTCAGGGGCCATCCAAAGATTTCTGATGTATAGGTCACTTTATAAATATGATGGCTTTGGTTCACCATATGAATACAAAATAGGACTTACTATGCGCATATTTTTTTTTCCCTTCATCATGATAAATTATGCCTTTTTGACCAAACCTAACATGTATATATTTCCAGCATGACATAGAATATGATTTTGTTTTTAGATATAATACAAACTTAAGCATAAGCTATAGTTATGGTGGCTTGAGAAAGCCAGCATACTGTTATAACACATAAACTTATTATTCTTCCGTCTTCTTCTTCTTAGTCTATTTTAATAGCGCATCTCCTCCTAGACCGTTCAGACATAATCAAACGATCCTTGAATATTTACAAAAATAGTAAAAATAGAGCACTTACGGACATATGTTTTAACGTTTAATTCAGCTACAGAATTAAAACTCATGTGTGTTGCTCTTGACTGTACACTGAGAGAAAATGAAAGTAAAACTAATCTGATTGCAGTACTTTAAATATCGACTCTGTGGCGAGTTAAAACCACAAGTGGCTAGACATGACTACACAACAATAATAATGGTTCAAAAATATATGTTTTGGCGGGCCAAATCTCATTTTCTTTTTGAAGCCAGTTGCGGTCCAGAGGAAGGAGGAGGGCAGACCATATATGGCTGGCAGTTTGAGACTCCTGGTTAAGATGCATGTCAATGATGAGAAGACCGAATGACCGAAATTGCCTATAAACACCCAGCAGGCACAAGATGTCAACATGATGTCAGATCGATGTTGTTCCCCAACAATACCTGCCAACACTCCAGTTTTTCCCAGGAATCTCCCGTATTTCAGACCCACCTCCCGTTTTGTCATTTCCTGTTAAACACCCGGAATGTCAACCGCTTCCCCCGGTCCCCAGGTGTTTGGTGTTATACTGTAACACCTCCGGATTACCCCCCTCCCCCCAAACTTTTAGTTTTTCCCAGCCTCTGTGAAGTACTGGACACAGCTGGGGGACATTGCATTTTGTTTGGAAATAAAAATCGGGTTGACATCAGAAGTCAACGTCAGGCCAACATCAATGTCCAACCTTAAATCAACCAAATATCAATGTCTAATGATGTTACAGCTTGACGTTGTGTGGATGTTACCACTATGACGTGGTACGTGCTGTGACGTTACCACTGTGAATTTTGTTTGCCATACCTGTAGAATAAATGTCAGTATTTGACGTCAATATGACGTTGGTTTAAGGTGTTGGCTCGACGTTGGATTTTGTTCACTTTTGAACACAACCTAAAATCAACTAAATATACCAATATCATTTGACGTCATTATTGGACATAAAAATAACGTTGTCCTTAGCAGTGGTGTAGGACTTCCTCAGTGTGATTTCCGTCCAATCAAATCTCACATAGAAAGTAAATCGCATGATGCTGAACAACAACAACACATCGGCGCCTTATAAATGCAGCAAACCTTTTGGAAGCGTTAAACATGTCCAAGATGATGTTCAAAATCTTTACACACATTGTCGCACAGATTTTAATAGACTGGATGTCACTGATGAGAAAATAGATGTTGTCTGTATGATGACTAAAATCACCAAACAGCCTTAAACAACCACTAAATGAAATGTATAAAAAAATGGAAGGAAGGGAGGATCTAAGGAAGAACCAAATGAATGAAGGAACGAACAAATGAAGGAAGGGCAGAACAAAGGACCTAATGAATGAAGGATTCAAGGAAGAACTGGACAAACTAAGAAAGGAAGGAAGAAAGGAACGAATGAACAAAGGACCTAATGAAGGAAGGAACAAAAATATGAATGAGCGAACAAATTAAGGTAGGAACAAAGGAAGGACCAAATAGATGAAGGAAGGAACAAACAAACAAATGAATGAAGGAAGGACAGAATAAACAATGAAAGAAAGGTTGAAAGGAACAAACAAATATAGGAAGATCACTAAATGCACTACAGAATGTCACGTTTACACATCCCTGCACAAGCTGCATGTAAACGCATCAGCTTTTCACAGTGTAATACTTCTCACTAATCTTGAGTACTTTTAAAAGGACTATTTTTTACTCATACTTTGAGTAATGTTTACAGCAGATACTTTTACTGTACTTGCACTACAATTTGGGGCAATTAATGCTACTTTTACTTGAGTATGATTTTACTGCACTCTTTCCATCACTGGTCCTTAGACACTGGGTATACATCAAATTTTGGTCCCCTAACGTTACAACCTCAATCTAACCTAATATTAACGTCTTATGATGTTGTGTGCCTGCTGGGTAATCACTAAATGCACTACAGAATGTTACGTTTCACACATCCACAAATTACATGTACTGTAAATGCATCAGCTTTTTACAGTGTAATACTCACTACTCTTGAGTACCTTTAGGTGTACTTTTTACACCTACTTTGAGTGACATTTACAACAGATACTTTTACTCTACTTGCACTACATTTTTGGGCAAGTAATGGTACTTTTACTTGAGTAGGATTTTTCAATACTCCTTCCACCACTTGTTACTACAGTTTTTCTCAAATGCTAAAACACATTTCACAAATGTTTCCTCCATGTTCCCCAATGTCTAAACACAACATCCTTTTCTAAAGCTACATAAACACAACCACACCTTCTCACTTCAAAACTCAAAGTTTCACACCAAAAGATCAGCTCGAAGCTTTCAAAAATGTAAACACTAAACACATCATTACACACTACAGCAAAACTATTGAAAACACAATGCTCAATCAGTGAGAAGGTTCTTTGTTTCATAACTGCCAATGCATATTTTTAGAAACTTTACTGTAACAAATCTTTTTAGGTCTCTGCAGAGGATTAGGCATTTAGTGAGGCATTTGTGAGTTACATATGCAGAGTATAAATATATAGAAAATACTGCATGTACACTACTGTAACACAACTCAATGCAAAAACAGAATCTATTGCACACAACAGTACTCTTGAAAACATGATCAGGGTGTGAAGTTTTTTTTATTTACTGTATTCAAACCACAATCACTGTGCAGCATCATCTCACTGAGCTGCATCGGGCCACATCACCTCATCCACATTGCAGGCTATACTGTCTTTTGCTAGGCACCGCGAGAAAAACGCCTTGTGTTTTGCTCCTTGAGTGTACGGTTTTGCTAATTGTGGAAAAAGTTGTATTTTAGTTTGTTAGCAATCATGAAAAACTGTAAAAAGTGGTTACTGTTGGTGGTGAACCAATCTCTAATTTAGTTTATTCTGTGGAAGCTGACATTGTCCCAAATGATCACATAAATGTGATGTGCAGGCCCAGGATAGTGTTATTGGTGGTCCAAGAAAATGTCTTTTAGCTCCTCTAAGAAAGTGAGAAGACATTGGGTGTTGTAAGACTCAAGGACAACATGCCGGTGGACAAGCCTCTCCGAACCCATGGCAGCACAAAGAGTATTATTGACATGGTCAATGACTGTTGCTCTCAGCTTGTCCTTAATGATGGTGTGAAGTTGTCTTGAACGGGAGACCTTCTCTCCCTTGTTGGCCTCCTCCTCTTCCTCGTTGGCGTGCTCCTCATCCTCGTTGGCCTAATCCTCTTCTTCCATGGCTATTGTAGCTCTTCTCCTTCCTCTGACTTGAATTCCTCTTCCCCTGACTCTGCCTTCATCCATCGTGTTTGTTTGGAATCTTCAACAAACTGTGCACTCTGAACTTGCTCTTATACATGTGGTCACAGCATAAGAAACAAGTGTCTTCAATTTTGAGGCATTGTGTGTAATTAATGATGCCTGCTGTGTTCATTGTGTTCTAATATTGCTGACTGTGGCAAGCATTTAGCATCACATGAGCTTTCATTTGAGAATATGAGCAGAGGTCTTTTGCAACTTGTGTTTTAGCAAGGAAAAATGGGTTTAGATTTTTTAGAACGGAAGGTTGTGTTTTGTGAATTGTGTCTTCACGTGAAATGTGTTTATGATGTTGGAAAATGATGGCTAGATTTAGTAAATGTGTTTAGACAACTGGTCATTTGGTTTAGAGGATTGGGTTTTGTGTTTTAGCATTTGAGGAAAAACTGTAAAATATAAATATTGTTCTATTGCAACAAAAGCTCTACAAATTCAGTGTCCTTTTTTTATCATACGTTTATGTTTGTCAGTTGAGAAATGTCTTGAAATGTACCGTGATTGGGTGTATCAAACAACTAATAGTTGCTAAGGATATATTGTATGAATTTCTAGAAAGCATAATTTAGTTTCAACTTTATCCGTCAACATTTTTACTGTCCTAATCCTGATATATTTCAGAAGGCATAATGATAGAATATATGTTTCAAAAGAGTTCATGTAGTTCATTACAACTGATTAAGTTCCCCAATGACAGATTTTTTGACAGATTTCTTTTTTTTTTTTTTTTATTTGAATATGCAAAAATCATACAAATACAAGAAAAAAAAATCAACAAATAACAAATACAAAGCAACGAAACAAAAACAAAACAAAAACAACAACAATATAGTCATGTACTGGTATGTGCTTGAGTGTGTGCGTGTGAGTTTGTGTATGCATGTAAAGATAACTTGGTGGACAGGTCAGAGTACATACATAAGGGACAATGACAGTCAATAAATGAAGCAAGTGTCACAGATATAGATAAAACATATAGAAAGAAACCAGTCAGGGGTAGGGAGTAACAACAATGCTTATTAATGTATGATAGTAAATATGAGTGTAAAAAAAAGAAAGGACAACAGTAATAACTGACAACAATAATAATAAATAACAAGTGCTACACCAACTACTACTACAGAAAGTTACTTATATTACAACTACTACTGCTTCTACTACAGCCACAACCACGACTACTACTACTACAATGTCTACTAATACTGATACTACTACTACTACTGCTACTACCACCACCACCACAATCACTTCTACTACATCTACATCAACAACATCTACTACTG